CAAGCTGTGCTATTCATTCATATACTGTACATGCACTTTTCATTTTGCTAAGTCGTTTTTATTTTGAGTTCTTTTTTAAGTCTGAAATTGTATTTATTCTTACGTTTTTAACACTTGCGTGTGGCAAGGACCCAAAACTCCATCTGTGACAAAAATGGAGAAAAAACCTTGGGAGAAACCAGGTTCAGTCGGGAGCCAGGATGTTTTTATAGGGGTGGCCAGGGAGGGGCCAGCAACCAGTCTGGGGTGGCACATAAATCTTCATTATTTCAATATAAAAATGTGATTGACTATAAAGTATTGGACTGTTTTAGTGCCTAAAACACAACTGAATACAATTCATTTCTACTACAGGTGCATCTCAATAAATTAGAATGTCATGGAAAAGTTCATTTATTTCAGTAATTCAACTCAAATTGTGAAACTCGTGTATTAAATCAATTCAATGCACACAGATTGAAGTAGTTTAAGTCTTTGGTTCTTTTAATTGTGATGATTTTGGCTCACATTTAACAAAAACCCACCAATTCACTATCTCAACAAATTAGAATATGGTGACATGCCAATCAGCTAATCAACTCAAAACACCTGCAAAGGTTTCCTGAGCCTTCAAAATGGTCTCTCAGTTTGGTTCACTAGGCTACACAATCATGGGGAAGACTGCTGATCTGACAGTTGTCCAGAAGACGATCATTGACACCCTTCACAAGGAGGGTAAGCCACAAACATTCATTGCCAAAGAAGCTGGCTGTTCACAGAGTGCTGTATCCAAGCATGTTAACAGAAAGTTGAGTGGAAGGAAAAAGTGTGGAAGAAAAAGATGCACAACCAACCGAGAGAACCGCAGCCTTATGAGGATTGTCAAGCAAAATCGATTCAAGAATTTGAGTGAACTTCACAAGGAATGGACTGAGGCTGGGGTCAAGGCATCAAGAGCCACCACACACAGACGTGTCAAGGATTGGCTACAGTGTCGTATTCCTCTTGTTAAGCCACTCCTGAACCACAGATAAATTCAGAGGCGTCTTACCTGGGCTAAGGAGAAGAAGAACTGGACTGTTGCCCAGTGGTCCAAAGTCCTCTTTTCAGATGAGAGCAAGTTTTGTATTTCATTTGGAAACCAAGGTCCTAGAGTCTGGAGGAAGGGTGGAGAAGCTCATAGCCCAAGTTGCTTGAAGTCCAGTGTTAAGTTTCCACAGTCTGTGATGATTTGGGGTGCAATGTCATCTGCTGGTGTTGGTCCATTGTGTTTTTTGAAAACCAATGTCACTGCACCCGTTTACCAAGAAATTTTGGAGCACTTCATGCTTCCTTCTGCTGACCAGCTTTTTGAAGATGCTGATTTCATTTTCCAGCAGGATTTGGCACCTGCCCACACTGCCAAAAGCACCAAAAGTTGGTTAAATGACCATGGTGTTGGTGTGCTTGACTGGCCAGCAAACTCACCAGACCTGAACCCCATAGAGAATCTATGGGGTATTGTCAAGAGGAAAATAAGAAACAAGAGACCAAAAAATGCAGATGAGCTGAAGGCCACTGTCAAAGAAACCTGGGCTTCCATACCACCTCAGCAGTGCCACAAACTGATCACCTCCATGCCACGCCGAATTGAGGCAGTAATTAAAGCAAAAGGAGCCCCTATCAAGTATTGAGTACATGTACAGTAAATTAACATACTTTCCAGAAGGCCAACAATTCACTAAAAATGGTTTTTTTTATTGGTCTTATGAAGTATTCTAATTTGTTGTTGAGTGGCTCTTGATGCCTTGACCCCAGCCTCGGTCCATTCCTTGTGAAGTTCACTCAAATTCTTGAATCGATTTTGTTTGACAATCCTCATAAGGCTGCGGTTCTCTCGGTTGGTTGTGCATCTTTTTCTTCCACACTTTTTCCTTCCACTCAACTTTCTGTTAACATGCTTGGATACAGCACTCTGTGAACAGCCAGCTTCTTTGGCAATGAATGTTTGTGGCTTTACCCTCCTTGTGAAGAGTGTCAGTGATTGTCTTCTGGACAACTGTCAGATCAGCAGTCTTCCCCATGATTGCGTAGTCTAGTGAACCAAACTGAGAGACCATTTTGAAGGCTCAGGAAACCTTTGCAGGTGTTTTGAGTTGATTAGCTGATTAGCATGTCACCATATTCTAATTTGTTGAGATGGTGAATTGGTGGGTTTTTGTTAAATGTGAGCCAAAATCATCACAATTAAAAGAACCAAAGACTTAAACTACTAAAAAATGTATTTAATACACGAGTTTCACAATTTGAGTTGAATTACTGAAATAAATGAACTTTTCCATGACATTCTAATTTATTGAGATGCACCTGTAGATTGTATTTGTGAATTAGATCAAGTAATGCTGAGTGAATATGACAATTTGTGTATTATTCCCCACCTCCAGGTCTTTTAATAAAGGGGCTCACTATAGCTTTATTGCTTAGTCAGCTTGGTTCTGGTTCTCAAAACCCCCAAAAGCTTGTTCTCCATCATTGCATACTCATTGATGAGACATGCAGATAGTGATAAGAGTTGGTTAATAAAACAAAAAAAGGACGGAAGTCAATAGCACATAAATGCCAGAATGTAAAATTAGTTCTTTTAGGCATTTAAATGGTAATGTGATGCTATACATAAATGAATGCACTAATTGACTTTTTGGTAATTTCATGGCTTAACTGACACCAGAACTACGTTATATGCTCATAGTTTCTTGCATGCATTATTTATGATGAAGAGATATAGAGTGTGCGCCTTATATTCGCGTAAAGTTGAAGAGTGTGCGCCATGAGTACGGTAAAACAGCTGTCAGGCGAGGAAAGTTTGTTTTACTGACATATAACCTACAACATCTCATCAGATCGCTGTTGTTTTACTGAAGCTCATTTGGCACATGTTCTTTAAATTTCCGCGCTCGTTTGACTTGCGGTTTTGAGTGGGGTGGCCAAAGGGGGCGGCCAAGCTTAGGTCAGTGGTGGCCACGCGGCCATCCCTGGCTCCGCCCCTGAGTTTCGACAGTCTAAACAGGTTTAAGTCTGTTTAATCAATGGTTGTTGTACAGTAAGTGGTGCATGCCTTATTCACTTTGAACAACATCCAGATGCCATTGTGTGAAGTTCATGCTCAGTTAAGCTGCTGACAAAACATACAGTTGAGCACTTAATGTAATTATACACGGTTTATAAACTACTTATTGATGCGACTTAACAGTGTTTAGTTGTTTTATTGTAAATGTGTGTGATTGACCTGTATGTTAAATTCATGTGTAACCACAAAAGACATGACATTCACCCAAAAATGAAAACTGTCATCACTTACTCATCTCATGTTGTTCCAAAATTGTTTGAGTTTCTTTCCACTAAAGGAGGTAGAGCTTTTTCGCATTTGGCTCCCAAACTCTGGAATAGCCTTCCTGATAACGTTCGGGGTTCAGACACACTCTCTCTGTTTAAATCTAGATTAAAGACACATCTCTTTGGCCAAGCATTCAAATAATGCATCTCATAATCTTGTACTGCAGTTATATCTGATCAAATGCACATTATTATTCTCTAGTTTGGGTTAAACAAATCAATTTTGCTTGGTTAGAACAGCAGCTACGCTAATTATTTCTCTATTTGTTTCTCTGTTTTTGCCACGGTTAAGATTTACACAAGCTTCAGTCTGGATCCAGAACACCTGAGAAGAGATGATGCCAACCCCTTAGAGGACCTCAGATGATGCCAACCCTGAAACAACATACAGAACTACCACATTTTGCTATAAGTTTGATTGCCTCATATAATAATTGCTGTTAATAGTGTTCATCGTCTGTTTTATTACGTCTTAAATTGATTTTTCCGTACATTTCTGCCATATGTACATTAACTGACAGTCACCACTGATAAGCTACCACTAAATATTGTAGAAACTTAATTGGCTGTAAAGTTGCTTTGCAATGATTTGTATCGTGAAAAGCGCTGTACAAATAAACTTGACTTGACTTGACTTGACTTTCTTCTGCTGAACACACTGAACACTTCTACTGAAAAAAATGTTTTGAACAATGTTGGTAACCAAATAGTTTCTGGTCCCCTCTGACTTCCACAGTATATTTTTTTCCAAGGAAGTCAATGGCTACCAACAACTGTTTGGTTACCAACATTCTTCAGATTACCTTCTTTTGTGTTTAGTAGAAAGAAGACATTCATACAGGTTTGGAACGACATGAAGGTGAGTAAATTATGACAGAATTTTCATTTTTTTGGCTGAACTATCCCTTTAAGTGAATGTTTTTAAATAGATTATTAATGTTTCAAATAGAAGGGTCTACCAGTGAAACATTTACAATGCAAATGGCAACTGCCAAATTAGAATCTTAGAATATTTGGAATTCATTTAAAAGACATTGGTTATTAATTATAATAAACTATACTATAAATTATACTTTAATGTCATCTCTATTGAAACTTGCATGTCATGTGTTTAAATATATGTAATTACACATTTATAAAAATGAAATTGTGAATGAAAATGTAAATGTATCAACACATTTTGGTTAAAATTCTAATCAAGTACTTTGCATGTGCTTCTTAGAAGCACAACAAAATATTATTGAAACATGATTTAAAACGTCTAAACCTTTGTCATTTGACATTATTGCAAAGTGCACTTTTTAAAAGCTGCAACTTTTACCAGTATGAACTTTAGACCACTCATAAGATTGATCTTCAAAAAAGGAAGAAAAAAAAGAAAATATGGCTCTTCTGGAAAGAAAGAAAAAAATCAATGAAGTATTTCAGTTAGTTGAAAGGTGACTTGCTTAATTTAGTATTAGCAGGCATATTTTTGATAGCAACAGAATGTGATATAGCACATTCCCTCTTGCTTGTTTTGCCCCTTTCCAGAAGTAGTTGTTTGTCTTGTTTTGGATTTACTGACGTTTGCATTAGTTGGCCCACACCCTTTTGATACCTCAGTTAATAGTGCACCTGCTGAGCAGCCTGACTGACACACACAGATACTCCTGCTACAGGTAAATGCTCGCACCGTCCTTGCACACCTTTTATGTCTGAATAGATACAAATATAAATCTTATAGTTAGAATAATATTATTATAACTAGAATATTTATAATGAGAATAGTTGGATAATTATTTTAATTAATATATCATATTTAAATTATACATCATAATTTTTCATGCAGTAGTTTAAAATAATAAAGCAGTGCAACTGTGTGTTAGGATCAGTGGTGTCAGTGTGAAAATGGTGCACTTTCAGCTTTCTGCACTGTTTGCTTTAGGTGCGTAAAGCTGTTTTTTACTGTTATAATTAATACATTTATTTATATTATCGATTTTAAAAGAGACACCTTTCACAAGTCACACTTACTCTATCTCTTTTATAGGATTCATCACACTGATAAATGGCCAGGTATTTAACACTTTCTGCACAAAATTATTTTATGGATTCTGCTTGTTATATGTATTAGGTCAAATCAAATTTGACCTTTATTCAATGGTTTTCCTAGATTTGCTTATTAATCAAAATAAGATATATATATTTTTATTATTTTAAGAATGGTGCTCACACACCAACTAGTTTTCACGGGTCGGGAGAAATAAAACTTGCTTGATTGTGATGAATCATTTACTATTAACAATGACAAGTTTTATGGATTTGATTAATTTATTTTCTGTTTCTTTAAAGTGTCTGGTGGAGTTTCGAAATGGTGCGTTTCTGAATACTTTTGTCACAACGTTTAATATGTTAGTCTAATTGCTCATATTTCTGTTATTATTATTTTTAATTTCTTTGCTTTTTACAGGCACAGTTTCCAATAATGGTTCCACATGCTCCTCAGTAAGTGTTTATTATTAGGTGGAATATGATGTGGGCAATATTATTTTTTCACTTTTATTTAAGGAATGTTGATATTCCCCCCCATTCCTATTTCAGTTCTCACAGTCAACATTCAACAACACTCTCACCTGCTCCGGGATACAGCTTTCAGACTTATCACAGGGAAATCTCAATAATCTCAAAGCATTTACCGACACTGCCTTTGATCTGTACACATTGCTGGTACAGAACATCAACATATTTCATATATTATTAATTTTTTTAAAAGGAAGTCACCTACTCAGTGCCTTTTTAATCATTCAAACAGAGATCTAGACTTGACGTTAGTCATGTCGTGAAGTACATCAATCAAGTCAGGGCGAAGGGCTTAATAGTGGGTTCACTGAAAGATGTGGATTTTGCGAGGCTCTGGTTCCAAGTGAAGCTCAGTCCACACCTGTCATCACTGTCCAGAGACACGCTCTCCTGTCTGAGTCAAAGCAACCTCGCCTGCCAGAGCTTCCAAGAACTGTGTGTATCACCACGCATAAATCATGCTGTTATTCTCTGTAGTTATTTGTTGTCAGAGAAGACCAACTTAATTCACATGCTTTTTACAGAGTGAAGGATCTAAGCTTGCAGATTGGTCCTGAAAGGCAAAGGATGGTGTATCAGAAATTCATAAAACCTTTTCTGGCGAGAAACACAACTGACGGTAACTGGTCCATTAATATATCAGATGTGAAAAAGACGAGGAGTTTGCTTCTTGATTTGCTAATGTTGAGTTTTCGTTTTAAAGCTGGGTGTGTCAACAGTACAAGCAGCACTGGGGAATGGCTTCTGCTGAACTTCCAAGCGTTCTCTGCTAGCGCAAGTCTAGGAGATTTCATAGCTCTGAATCCAAAGTTTGATGGGGTAAGAAGTAAATTAACCCGGGCAGTTTTATGGTATAAATCAATCATAGCATTACTCTTGAGATGATTGATTTGAATCTTTGTGCTTCTTTTTTAGCTGCTTGTCCTAGATAAGCTTACCCCAGAGCAGAAAGCTGAGTTGATCTTTCAGCTGGAAGCATCTGCTAAGCTGAACCTCGATGCCGTCATTCAGATCTTCCAGAGTTTCCTGCAGCCGCTCACTAACAGAACACTTAACATGACCAGTGTCAGTTCAAATGGCCTTCATCAGGTTAGATATGAGTGTTGTGTACTTGATGACAATGATGATGATGATGTAGCTGGACTGCTGCTTATTAATCAGGCCAGTGATTAAGCATGAATGAAGAAGATGATCCTAATTATTTGCACATTTCTGCAGAATCTCAGCGATTTCCTGGTTTCTTTGAGACCATTGGGAAGATTCATCAGAGCATGTGTGAACATTGCTCAGACTGTACGTTTCCTTTTTCCTTGTATAATGAGAATATAGAATTAAAGTTGTAAACAATTTTAATATGCTTATTTAGTAGTCGATTTCTTCTTTTTTATTATTATTATTTTTATTATTATTTTACAAATTAATTAAATTATTTGTATATATCAATATTTGCCTAGAAAGACTCCTAATTTATTGTGGCACATGAAAATATTGAATAGGCATTACAAAATATGGCTTTAGAAGTCAAAATACTGTTTATTTTATTTCCATATCATTGCACATAATGCCTCTCTTTGTTTTTCAGCATCTTGTGCCATGAGCGTCATATTTTTAAGACACCATTAATTAACCTTTTTGATTGAGAGCCCTAATATGTATAAACCTGTTTCTTCTTTTTCAGACAAATGTCAGCAGTATCAGAAACGAAACGATACAGCTTCTGATTAACTGGACCCTGAGCTTTGACAGCCAAACCTCAATAAATAGTTTCCGCATCAGCAACTTCAGTGATTGGTTACAGTTTGTGGTTCTTCCTGTGATGAAGAAATCTCTGCAAACTAACCAGACTTTACCAGGCGTCACAACAATATCCAACTTTGTTTTGTGAGTAGAGTTTCTACCTGCATTATAAACCAAATTAGAGCTCTAAGAGCATATAAGAGGTAGAAAAAAAAGAAAGAAAACAAAACTGCAGGTTGCAGAGAATTTTTGATCTCTTTGAAAGGCTGCACAGGATTAGACTCAAAAGTTATTTTTGACAGTGCTTGTGTCCTGCTTTCTAATAAAGAATGCAATATATAAAGACAAAAGTTTTCAGAGAATATGGAATTAAAGCTAATTTTGGCCCTCTAGTGGTTAAAAAATAAAACGGATTGTCTTGTTTTGGTGGTTTGAGGCAGTGTAGACAATGTTTTTTACACAAGGCACTCACTCTCTCATTAGTATTTTGTATCAATAAAAACTAGCTTTAATTATATTTTTCTATACCAATTTCTCATCTTTTTTGTTTATTTGTTTTAATCATAAACCCCACTAAATTGTTACCTTTATGCTTAAAACGAGAGAAAAAAAACAACAACTACAGAATAGAAAATTATCCTCCTGTTTACTTGAGTGAGAAAAAAATAGAACTACAGTCTACTTACAATTTCCCCCATTTTTTCTCAAGTAAATGTATTTTACTCTGAGGATTATTATTACATGTTTGAAAAAACATTTACTAATAAATAAGACAAATTACTGATTAAGGCAGTGTTCGCAGTGTATGTTTAGGACTGACATTGAGATAACTGGACATATTAACTACAATTAGAAACATGTACCTCAAGGTATATCTGATGTGTTTTAACTAATGCTGTGCTCTTTATACTTTGTTCAGTGCTGCAGAGCCACAAATCACAGAACCTGTCGACAACTGTAAAGTCACCAGCAATAACAGTTCCTGTCATGTGAGTCTGTCTTTCACAAACCAATCTCTCACGTAACTAACCACACCTTGATCAAGTCCAGCAAGTCTTCTGGCATGTCACACATCTAAAGAATGTGAAAAAACTACAATGTGGTTTTGTTCTCTTGTGCAAAAACTGGAACTTCTAATACAAGATATAAATGTCTCAAACTGATTTACAGCTAGATAGCAGTTTCCTAAACTAAATAGTACTATCTTCTGGTGCAGACATCACAGATTGAAGAGAATCTGGCGAAAACCATTAATTGTGTCGCCCAATCAAATCTGAGCTTCACTGAGGAAAACCTGAAACTTCTGATTACTGAATTCTCCAGATCACTGCAGACACTGATGGAGCAGTCTAGAGTGGTAATAATAAAAAAAGAAAAATATATATATTTCTGTGCTACATTCAAAGGACTGCCTTTTTTGACAATGCATTCTTTTTTTTTTCAGGTGAACAACTCATCTCAAAGCAACCTCAGAGCCTTGTTTGCAGAACTGCCAGCAGAAAGCTTCACATCTGGAAATCTCGATGATGCTGAGTTCATGAGATTCTGGTTCCAAATCAAGATGAAGCCCCTGCTACCTCAAATCCCACGTGAATTCCTGTCTTGCATCAACACACGTGGCTTCAGCTGTCAGGCCTACAGGGCACTGTACGTTCATCATGTTCCCTTCAACTGATATATGATAGCTGTTCATTATCTTAGTATCACAAACCCATAGGTTTGCACCTGATAAATTAATACCCAAATCCTGGTTGAGATTGCTTTCCTGGTTGTGTGTAGCTAAAAGAATAACTATTAACACAAATAAATAAATAAATAGGCCTAAATAAGAATAAGAATAAGAATAAATTATAATTATTAAAGGAAAATAGTTCACCACAAAATGATAATTTGCTGAAATATATTCACCCTCAGACCATCCAAGATGTAAACCTGTTTGTTTCTTCATCGGAACAAATTTAGCATCACCAAAGGATCCTCTGCAGTGAATGGGTGCCGTCAGAATGAGAGTCGAAACAGCTGATAAAAACATCACAATAATCCACACAACTCCAGTCCATCAATTCACATCTTGTAAGCAAAGAAGTTGCGTGTTTGTAATAAACAAATCTGTCATTAAGACATGTTTAACGTCAAACCGTCACCTTCAGCTTAAGTACAAGTCCTGTAACCCATTCCCTAAAAAGGATCCATTGGTAAGCTAAAATTCTCCAAATCTGTTCCGTTTAAGAAACAAACTCATCTACATCATGGAGGGTGAGTGAATTGTAAGCAAAAAAAAATATTTTTTTGTGAACTATTCCTTTAAAGCAACTGTATGTAGTTTTGCGTATTTTGCTTTGACCCCCCTACAGTCAAGTGAGTTGACGTTCATTATTGAAAGTCGGGGTATCATCAAAATTATTTTGAAACGTATATTTCAGAAAGGAGAAAAAAACACTTACATACAGCTGCTTTCAGTCGACCTATCACAAACAAGGTAGTAATGCAATGTTTTATTGCTGCAGTTATGTGGAGATAAATAATAATTCTGGACTGATGGATAGTGCGACACAGAGATCTGTCCTCAGTGACTTCATTCGTCCATTCCTGTCACGACGTCTAAACACAGGTAGTTGTTACTGATCATTTGGTTCAACATACTTATGCAAAATAAAGCATTTATTGACGTAGCCTATACAATTTGTTTATGCTGTTTAAATGCTTAATCAATGTTTCTTGAACTTTATTTGACACATAATACTTTACAAGACTCTATTTAAATGGCATCCAGTGATGATCAGTAATGAACACAGTATTGCATTATTTTAATTCAGGTGCCGACTGCACATTGCCGTTTAACAACAGTGTGGACTTCATCCTGCAAAACTTCGGCAGTTTCTCTCCGTTGGCACAGCTTCAGGATTTCTCCAGTTTCAGCCGCAATTTTTCAGCTGTAATTCAGAAGTTGTTACTGTCATTGAATGTTAAAGACTGACTGAAGATATGCAAAAGCTTTGTGAATGCATGTGAATGAAGTTTCATGTCATTTGCAGGCGGATGCTCTTCCTGTTCTCACGATTGTGCAGCTGGGTGAACTGGTGTTCAGTCCTCCTGCTAAACCAGAAGACAGAGGAAACATCCTCACAAAAGTCTTTGACTTCCTTCTTCAAGCCCCCAACAGAGACAAACTAAACAACTTCCTCCCCTCTCTTCAGACACAGGCCAGAAAGGTGTTTAATACAACTTTACACAGAATCTGTGTAGAAATACATTTAACAACAACAGCCACAATAGTATTATTTCTATTAGTATTACTATTATTATTATCATCATCATCATTATTATTATTAATGTTTTAAAGGAATATTGTTTAAATCATTTAAAATAAATTAAAACATTATTATAGTTGTTATTTGTTTGGTCATCAACTTATCTTGATTTTGTACAACAATATCATGATCTCTCTTTTGTCCTGCAGGCAAACTTCAGTTGTGAAAACTACAAAGTCGTGTAAGTCACTTTTCATAAGCAAAACACATTATTATTATTAATGTTTTAAAGGAATATTGTTTAAATCATTTAAAATAAATTAAAACATTATTATAGTTGTTATTTGTTTGGTCATCAACTTATCTTGATTTTGTACAACGATATCATGATCTCTCTTTTGTGCTGCAGGCAAACTTCAGTTGTGAAAACTACAAAGTCGTGTAAGTCACTTTTCATAAGCAAAACAAATATTGTGTGTGATGTGAAACACTGAGCTCACGATGGTCTGTAATAAATGCTTCATGTTCTTCTGGTTTGCAGCTCTGCTGTGGATCAGTTCTTGAACGGAGCGGGTCCAAACGCAACAGGACTTTGTAACTTCACTGTGTTGCAGTTCGCCTGTCTACCAACGGTAATGTTACACAGAAGAAGAACGCTTCGCTCTTTTAGTCACTGCCTCATTATTTTTTCTTTATGTGTGCCATTGTTTCAGTTTTGATAAAAGCTTTTTTGTGTCATCAGCTGTCACAGTTAAACTCTCAACAAGTGGCTGACCTGTTGGCTTGCAAACTGTCCAGCAATGTGACAAAAGACACCTGGAAGCTTTTCTTCACCAAAACCAGCACAAACCTTGATGATGCACTGCAAAAATTTTCCAACAAGGTATGAAGCTTGATTTATTTTAATTATTTATTTATTGATATTTTATTTTTCGCCTTTTTAAAGTGATATATGCTGTGAAATATGTTTACTTTCAGACTCCCAGTGTCAGCAGTGTGTCTTTGTCCGATATGCTGGATGTGATTGATGACATCCGGATCAGTCGCTTTAGTCCCCAGAGACTGAAAGATCCTGTCTTCATTCAGTCATGGTTCCAGGGGCGACTCAAACCCTTCTTACCATCAGTATCTCAAAGACTCCTGTCCTGCCTCAGCACTAAAAACTTCACCTGTGAAAGTTACCGCACTATGTAAGTTGGTCTGACTTACATGATATGAAGTGACAATGTAATTTTGCAGGCACTAAAATAAAAAACGAAATACGGTGTTTGTTATCTTTCAGCACTACGACTTTTGTGAATGCACCTCTACGAGATGGACAAGACATTTGCAATCCACTGCAACCCAATGGCACTAAAACACAGGCTGATCTGATCTACATTGACTTCATGAAAGCCTTCCTCTCTCGCAATGACACTGATGGTTGGTTTAGAATATTTTTTATTCTCTTAACTGCTTTAAATTTAACTTAAAAGTATGAAAATGCTTACAGTATGAAGTCATCTGCACAAATATTGTGTCTGGCCTCATTTGAAGATCAAGTACTTACTTTGTCTCCTGTTATGGATGAGGACAAACACTTGAAAGTTTTGCATTGAACTATCATAATGAATCGCTATGTAAATGTTCTTGTTGCTCTTCCAGATCCCGGGTGCCTTAAAGACACAGCCAACAGTGTGCAGTGGGTCAACAGAAACTTTGGGCCATTCGTTCAGTCAGCTCCCCTAAAGGACCTTGTGGCACTGAACAGAAACTTTAGAGTGGTGAGTGCTAAATGATGCAATTTATATAGAATTCCTTATGGCAAAACACAGTGACAGTCGTTTTGTTTGTCGATTTAGGTGGATGCTCTACCTCTTCTGGGTCTAAGACAACTATTTGAGTTTTCTGTAACTCCTGGTACACTAACTGATCCTCAAAGCGTCATCAATGTCATGCAGCATGTTAAGGATTGCCAGCTTCCTGCTTTCTTTGACCTCTTTTCCCCGAAAGTGCAGGTGCGAACAGAGCATTCATGCTAAAATAACTTTATCTAAAAGATCCAGAAACCATTGTTAATCCTCCAATGATGTCAATTTCTCCTGTCCAGGAGATCCTGCCCACACAAGATGTAAAAGCAGCACTGATTAAACAGATATTTGACAGAGCCAGCCTGTCTAATCTAAGCATCACTAATCAGGAAGTTGTAGTCTGGATCCAGAGTAGACTAAATCCTCTGTTAGCCAACCTTTCAGAAAGCCTTGTGTCTCCGTTTTTCACCATCCTCAACACAAGGGACTGCAATATCACTCAAACCGCGTAAGAACGATGGACTTTAAAGGCAATAAATGTACATTTGCTGTGTATTATGCAAATTTATATGAGTGTAGACATTATACCTTGTTTAATTTCAATTTACAGTCTGGGGCTCTTAGATGTTGCTCGACCTTCATTAACGATAAACACCAAAAATGCAATCTACAATAGCATTCTTCAATCCATCAAAGGTATTTTTTCATGTCACTGACATAAACATTCTTTTTAAATCCACCTATTATGTGTCTGTATAATAAAACAGTCAGATCATAAAAAGAAATAAATCATTTTATAAATATCTTGTTTTATTCACATAACATCAACTAAGACACAAGGTTTGCTATAGTAAGATCTGTTTTGTTCTTGTAGGGCCACAGTCTCTGAGGTGCTACAGAAATAACAGCTTTGTCGCGTTCCTAAACGAAAGCCTGTACGGCTTTGGGCCACTTCCAAATGTGAACACCTTTCTCTCTCTGATACCAACCAATCGGAAATCTGAGGTACGCTGCATATCAACTCTACAGTTCTGATGATCAGTGCTCAATGTAGATGTAAACTGATGTTTGACTTGTGTATTCCAGCTTGTAAACTCTATAGCTCCTTCTGAGCTGGGAAGCTACTTGAGACAGCAGGAAGTGGTGAACAACGATTCACAAATCTGTGCCATCTTTAACAGCTTTACCAAAACCCCTGAGTTCTTGGAAACCGTGAGTTTTAAAATAAATAATACAATGTTCAAAGTACAATTATGTAGAGAATAATATGTAGAGATATTAAATAGAATAATATTTACATTCACCATTTTTTTCTGTTTTGCAGGAAGAGGTTCCAGATCATGTTAAAAGCGCTATCCTTCCCTGTGTCTGGTCTCTGGCGTTGACAAGTGACAATGAGACAGAGGTTGATTTGTGGTTTAACCGTAGACTGAAGCTCTACTTGAAGTTCCTGAACAAAGATCTAATAGGGTCAAAAGACACACTGAGCTCATCTTGCCAATCATACAAGAAAATGTGCGTGTAAATGGCTGTGGTGAAATTTGTTGGTTCGGAGGTATGAAGACTTTTGTAACGTTTAAAGTGCTTTCTCTTTTTTTCTAGGGTCAGTGTTTTAGGCAGCATGTATTACATTTTAGACACTGAAGCAAAATGCTACAACTCCAATGACACAAGACTGAATTCAACTGCATGGTTTGTCAACAACATTGGTGCATTTATAACTTTATTGACTCTGGACGATCTCTACTCTTTCGGCCCTGAGAACACGGTATGAACTATATCCACTTGTTCATATCGGCTGTTATTACTTACATTATCATACCATGTTTTGTGTGACATTGTATTGGTGAAAGCAAATGAATGCATATTGTTAATTCCTGTCTGATTTTGTTGTTTGCAGATGAAAGTCTTTGCTGTGAACCCTGATAACCTAAAGCTGTTCAATCAAATATCACTTCCGAAGAACGTCTTCAGTCGCTACACTGAACTCGTCTTTCTACAAAACCCCAACTTTAATCTTTTTGAGTAAGTTAGAACAGAAACCAGATCAAAATCTCAGAGTGTTCTCTGAGTTCAGCTTGTTTACTGTTCTCTGTGCTTCACTAGGTTGCCTTCGGTTTTGCAGTGCGATGCCCCAGTATCGACCTTCACTAAGCTAACAGAAAGTGAAACTAATACTATTCTTGGAAACTTCAAGACATCTTGCTCCAAAGTGGATCCTGCGGTAAGTATTCCATTAAAGCCTAAAGTCAAGTAATTTCTTCATGTAGCTGTGACGTAACTGACTGATATTCCTTGTACTTGTTTTCAGATATCTACTGCCCTTACGGGAAACATCAAAACCATAGATGCAAGTGCTATTACCAACTTGGGAAGTCAAATTGTAGGCCTAACAACTACACAAATAAACATAGCACCTCCATCGGTTCTTATCAGTAGTCTCTCAACACTGGGCAGTACATCTGGATGGTCCCTCGGACAAGCCAAGGCAGTTGTAGGAGTGCTTCTCAGTGGAAATTTTAAGGTACATTTTAAGCCACCAATGGAAGACATTTGCCTTTAAACGTGTTAAAATTAACTTGGAAATTCTTGATATCTTTAAGATGCATTTTCAAAATAACCTCCTCCTCAGTAGACCATTAAATTCTACAAAAGGAATTACTTTTTTGACTTTCTGACAGTTCGAAACTCCCAGCAGTTTGCTGAGTCTTGGATCCCTGATTGGAGGGATTCCTTCAACACTACTGACAAACATTAATCCGACACAAATTCTTGAAACATCACGAAACACAGAATTTGTAAAAAGCATAGTGGCTGCCCCAGAGATCATTCAAAAGACCTTTGTGAGCCAGGTAGGGGAACAACATTTATGCATAGTAAGAGATATTTCAGATGCAAATGATTTAAGTTGGGCATTTAAATGTCTTTTTTTATCTCTAGATAATCAAAGTGGGATCGACAGCATCTGTCTTAATGACGAACATTCCCAGTGACTTGGCCGTTCAGATTCCAAGAAAGTTCCTGGAGATTACCACCACTATAGAAACAACAGTCCTGCAAGAGTTTAACAAAAAAAAGTGGAAACCCGAACAGGTACTATAGCAAACTACAACTATAAAACTAAATAAAGGTTCTGAAAGGGGTTTTCGCAGTGATGACGTAGAAGATCCATTTTTGGTTCTCTGATGAACCTTTCATTGAACAGCTCTTAAAAGAACCTTAAACAGACATTTTAATAAGTTTAAGAGCCTTTTCCACTCTAAAGAACCTTTTGTGCAATGCAAACATTCCATGGATGTTAAAAATGGAACCATCAATGCCAGTAAAGAACTTTTATTTTTGCGAGTTTCAATGTAGATAATTGATGGCATTCTTTTATCTAAAATTCTCTATAGGCAGTTCTTTTCTTCGATTCTGTGGCAAATGCTTTTGCTCAAGCTGATGAGTAAGTATATGTGCTTTTTTAACTGTTATGTAAAAAATACCTTTTGAGTATGCACTGAAAGCAAAATTTTTACGTTTGTGATTTTGTTTTTGTCTGCAGCCTGTCAGTGGACATTTTGCAAGGATTTACATGCTCACGAGTGCAGACATTCACCCAAACCAAAATCAAAGGCCTGATCAAAGCCTGCCGACCGAGACTAAGCAGACCTAAGGTGGTACTGAGCGAGACTCAGGTGAGTGCTGACAAAAACGGGATTGAAAAATGTGATCAGTTGATCAGTTGTGGTCAGAACAAGAACAATGAATATGCTTTGTGTCTAATTGTTTTCCTAGCTGACTTGCATGTACAACCTTATTAGAAAGGAATCACCTTTTGATTTTGAAAACTATCATTCAGATATGTTGCTGTACTTCAAGTAAGTGCTTACTGTAACTTTTTAACCATGCTTAGAAATTTGTCAGTGATCTATTCCTTTAAAAAAATGTATCGTTTGTAAAAGTTGTAATATACTTTGTCTGTTGTCCTCTTCAGTTACGAAACAATCAACAAAACCCTTTGCAAGGCATATTTTACACAAGTCGGTGCAGCAGATCTCTCAGTCTTTTCAAGCACACTGAGCGGAAGAAGGGACATTTTGTTGAGTAATGCTATAGATTGCTTGGTAAGTATCGCCCAGTGATATAGATCATTTAAAGAATTAGTGGTGACGAAAGGCCACAAAGTTGTATTTGGACACACTGCAAAGACCGCCAACTAGCACTTATGTTCTACATCTTTGTGAGAGGAAATAACTCTCCATACCAACAGGTGGCAGTGTGTATTATCCAAAAAGGGAAATTGTTTTATTAAAACTGCATATTCTTATTATTCATTCAGGGCATTAATGGAACAAGCATCAAGAAACAGGATCTGACAGTACTGGGCAACTTGGCATGTGCTGTGAGCAGTGACACCATCAGAAACTCAGACCCAGAAATCCTTGAGTACTTGAAGAACTGCAAAGATCTCTCCGATTCGCAAATATCAGCCATGCAAGAAATTCTCGTGAAGGGAACTTCAAAATATGGGCAAGTTATCTTAATATGAAAGAATTCTGAGTCAGCTCAGACCATTATTTTCGGTCCTGAATCTGTGCAATTGTTTAAAAAAAAAAGTACTGGTTATGATCGTCTGGTAATGGAAGTATATGATTGTACTGTTTAGACCAAAAGGCAAGTGGAATCAGAAAACACTTGCTGATCTGGGAATTCTGCCTTTGTACTTCTCACAAGACTTTTGGGGATCATTCATAGAGGTACATTGCGTGTGAACATTATACACAGTTGAGCTACACTGTAAAACATTATTATTATTATTATTATTTTGGAGTATGTTTTACAAGAAAATACTATTTCAGTCTTACTACTTTACATTTTCATGTTTGATGCAGTGTGCTGTTTGCATTTCTTTGTCATATTTTGTGGAATTTACTAGCAGTTTCTGAGTGAATATTGGTTTGAATTAAATCCTACACCATTTTTGTTCAGTGTCACAATGTCTTTAGCTAACCCTGTGTTCTTTTAAACATCCGTCTTGATTTAAACAGAGGGATTTAGCCAAGTTCATGAAAGGCTTCTTAAAACTTGTGCGTGGACAAAACACACCAAAGCCACAACTGAAAAAGCTGTTTAAAGCAATCATTTTCACTCCAAAAGTTGTCAAGAGGGCAGGTATGCTACCTTCATGTTTTTTTTTTCATTCTCATTTAATCAAAATTTTTAATTAATGAGATAGTTTATCCAAAAAGCAAATTGAGGTGAATAGAGTAACTTATAGCTGCAAAATTTCCTAAATCATGTATTCACTTGTGTTTTAAGCGAGTGACTGTATCAAGGGCAACATCACTAGTCTTATCATCAGCGATGACGCCTTCCCCTTTGGATATACTGAGGCGCAGTTCGGCCACTGTCTGAGTTCAGCCATAGTGAAGGACAACCTCGCTAGCCTCTGTGAAAAAATTGAGGATAGCGCCTTTCAGAGAATAATTTTGGACAAACTCAAAGAGGTAATATGATGTTTTAAAATCTGATCAAATCGTCCAGGACATTCAGGACAGTGTTAATGTAGAGGTGTTGCGCTTGTCCATCAGATACTGCCAAATGGCCTTTCAGATGATCAGGTCCAGGTGCTGAAGTCCGTGTCCAGGAGCGCTACAATGGATGAAATAAGTAAATGGAACATCACTAAATCTGACACACTGGCAGCGCTCATGAGCACTAATGATGGCGACTGGTCCTCTGCACAGGTGCAGATTTTGACATGATGAATCTTTCTTATTTTACAGATGCAAAATGTTTGGTTTTGTGATAATGTACTTATTTATCTTTCAGAGTGAACTAATCATTACCAGATACGTAAGTGCCAACAACAGTCTGAGTGCCACTGAGCTCAATCTAGTGAAAGGACCAAATCTCTGCTCTCTGAATGCCAGCGTATTGTCAACAATATTGCCTGAAAATATGCGGTAAAGAAAACTTCCCATTACTCCAGTCTTCAGTGTCACATGAGCCTTCAGAAAACATTCTAATATGCTGATTTGCATATTCATTTTTGAAAATTTAAAAGTAATATTTTGGCGGAAACCATGATACTTTTCAAGATTCTTTGATGAATAGAAAGTTCAAAAGAACAGCATTTACTTGAAATAAAAATGGTTTGTAACATTATAAATGTGTTTACTGTTACTTTGATCAGTTTAATGACAACTTTTTTTTTTCACTGACCCCAAACTTTTGAAACGTGTGTATATATATATATATATATTTTTTTTTTTTTTTTTTTTTTTCTCACAGTACATAGTTTTACATATTTGCATACCATTTAAATGTGTAATCACCAGATTTCTCTCTATTATCCTCTATAACAGGGAGTCCGATGCTTTGGATGTGTCAAAATGTTCATCTGAGAAAAAGAAGGCACTCTTCACCATCGCTAACAAAGCATTTCCCGTGTCCCCTGCAAGCGGTCAAAGTGCCATCCTGTCAGCCTTCCAGCTCATTGAAACCTATCTGGGTATGAACGCCCTTCAAATATAATTTCAAGCCCACTGAATGCATATATACACCTTGACACATACAAAATTCAGTCATGACGACACTTTTAAAATACCAACTTTGGTTTGCACACAGATAATTAGTTCCCATTAAGTATTTGCTCTTTTATTTGTTTGTAGGAGGTGCAGATCTAGGCTACATTAGGAATATGTCATCATATAATGTCAGCATGAGCCTGTCCACTTTCATTAATCTGGATGCAAACGTGATCTCGGTGAGGAAAGAAAAACATTTAGTATTTTTTTGTTTTATTTATTCATGTATGCCTACATCATAGATGCACTGTTTAATGATCTGATAACATCCACTTGTTATATATTACAGAGCCTCACCATATCAGATGTCGTGGGTCTTCTTGGTAACAATTTGCAGGACCTAAAAACATTTGAAAACCAAACAGTTGTGCGGAGCTGGATCTCGCTGCAGTTACAGTCAGAGCTGGATAAACTCAATCTCACTCTAACTGGAGGAAAAGCAACAGCAGACACAACAACTGCTGTAGCTACCACTGTTACCACTGTCAAGGCCACTGCAGGCGCTCCAGGTGAGGTGTCACGCACACGTGTTTAAAAACAAACTTGAACACTGTTCACAGAGTATCTGATTCAGTCGGTTAAAAGCATTAATAACCTTTTTGTTATTGTCGTTTTTATTTTTCTAGGAATTGGAGCCAGTGGGTGGACAGTTTCCTTCAGCATCCTTGTACTCATTTGTACCATCATCAAAGTGAAGATTATATAGCAGCACTGACGCCAGATCAGCCACACTGTAATCTTACCAAGATGATATATCTGTGAGACTCTGCAACTGAAGGAATATACATATATAGAATATTACAATCTACTCAATCTGTTTATAATCACACATTTTCTTTTTTGTCATCCTCTTCATATTTCTTCCTAAATATACTATTAGTATACTATAGTATACTAAATATACTATATTATAATTGACATATGGAAAAAGAAATGTTGCACTATTAGTCAAAGCAAAGGATATGTAGCATTTGATTGAAATACTTGTACAACTGTCTCAAACTATAAAGCTTCCATATTGAAGTGTTTCGAACATTTAGAATCGTTATATGAATTCCTTGTGCTTTTCTTGAATATGACAAAAAAGTAAATGTTCTATGACTGGTACCGGTTTATTTGTGGCAATGATCATAACTAATCATGTCAAATGTAGTCATACAGACATTAATAAAAGGTACTCTATGATGAACAAAACAGCTATCCAGTTTGATTATTTCTTTGCAGGTCTTTACAGAAGTTTATAAACAAACACTGAATACAAATGAAGGTAGTTGGTATCGGTATCTTCCCTCAGGATCTGTTCAAGAAAATGTTGATGTACTGCATTTTTTTGACTGATACTAACCAAATAAAAAAAAGTGTAAGGTATGAGGGTATTGGTTTAGAACCTACGGGGGGTATAAAGTCAATGACAAGGAAAAAGATGATAAAAATTGGACAGTGTTGGACAGGGTGCAGCCTTTGAAATGAGACAGATTTTATATATGTAATATATATAAATTGTAACGGCCTCTTTGACGATCTCTGATTGGAAAAAAATATATGGTCCATGCAACAATTTTTCCCCTCACAAAGTAAGAGAAATATCTTTTAAATGAATCCATAACATTTACCCTGTCAAATTATTTTTAAAAAACAATTCAGATCTGACATTAGGCCTACATTTATTGATTTAAATATTATTGATTTAAATGAACAAAAAAATGTTTGGACTCTTTCTACAATATTAACATCGACAGCATTAACTCACACATTTAGATCTTACTTGTTTCTAATGTAAAAAAAAAGTAATAAAATACCGTGTGCCTTTATTTTGAAACAAAGTCGTCACGCCCGGATCTTTTTTTTTTTTTCAACGCTTGTCACTCAAAAACATCTCGGTTACATATGTAACCTTGGTTCCCTGAATAGGAAACAAGATAATGCGATGACGTCATCGTTATGGGAATGTCTGAAGCCCTAATACCATCACACCAATTTATTGGCCAATAGCGCATAGCACCGCCCAGAGCATACGTCACGTATGCTCATACAGGTGCATCTCAATAAATTAGAATGTCGTGGAAAAGTTCATTTATTTCAGTAATTCAACTCAAATTGTGAAACTTGTGTATTAAATAAATTCAATGCACAGACTGAAGTAGTTTAAGTCTTTGGTTCTTTTAATTGTGATGATTTTGGCTCACATTTAACAAAAACCCACCAATTCACCATCTCAACAAATTAGAATATGGTGACATGCTAATCAGTTAATCAACTCAAAAACCAGCAAAGGTTTCCTGAGCCTTCAAAATGGTCTCTCAGTTTGGTTCACTAGGCTACGCAATCATGGGGAAGACTGCTGATCTGACAGTTGTCCACAAGACAATCATTGACACCCTTCACAAGGAGGGTAAGCCACAAACATTCATTGCCAAAGAAGCTGGCTGTTCACAGAGTGCTGTATCCAAGCATGTTAACAGAAAGTTGAGTAGAAGGAAAAAGTGTGGAAGAAAAAGATGCACAACCAACCGAAAGAACTGCAGCCTTATGAGGATTGTCAAGCAAAATCGATTCAAGAATTTGAGTGAACTTCATTAATTTATTGAGATGCACCTATATGTGCGTGCTGCGCGCTATTTCATCAGATTTTACACTGACAAAGGAAGCGCTATCGAAGGTACGTTCCGTTCCGGCCAGCATCGCAGCATCTCGTTCCCTATTCAGCGAACCAAGGTTACATACCTAACCGAGATGTTCCCTCTCATAGGTTCACTTCAATGATGTCATCGCTATGGGAACGCTATACCATCATGCCTGACGTACCTAAGAAGACTGAGGAAAGAGTCTGCTCAAGCGGAAGAGACCCGGAAGCCAAGAGCCATCCTCACGTCCAGACAAGTAGAACTTGATGAAAGTGCTAGGAAAGGACTAACCTGCCGCAGCACAGACATCTCCCATCAAAGGCCCTTTAAAGAGAGCCTGAGAAGAAGTCATTGCTCTCGTAGAATGAGTACGCACTTCTAGAGGCGAAGTCACACCACGCACCTCATAGGCTAGAGATATAGCTTAAGGTTTCAAAGTTATCTGACAGACTTAAACGGCTCAAATGGATGGCCTGCCAGGCCTTCCAACCGAAAAATAGGTCCCATAAAGGAATCTGTGCTGGGAGGAAAGGCCTAAGCCATCTCGTACCTGCATGAAACGGGAAACCAGAGGGTGACATCCCGCTGAAACACCTCTATGGGCAATGCTCAGCAGATATGCTCAAAATAGTTTGTGTGATTGAGCTAATATCAGCCAATTGCCAAGGTAACTCAAAACTCAGACACCCCGCCACAGCAGGGCCAGAGAATCATCCATTCCCCTTGCGTTCGAGGCCAGTTCAATGGAAGAATACAGTATTGGCAAGCTTTATTCCAAAAGCAAACCTGAGGAACTTCCTGTGTCTCTTGACGATCTGGATGCAGAACTATGCATCCTTAGATCGATGGTCACAAACCAATCTCCAATCTCCATTGCTTACTCCAAGCACAAGGTTAGGTGACGCAAATCCAATCAACCCATAGAAGCTGGATGGTGTAACTATACAACAGCCTGATCCTCCCTCATGAGGCCCCGAGACACCTGAGTTGCGGGAAAAACCTCTGAAACAGGAACGGATACTAAAATCAGGCATGCCAGCACCAACCACAGAGTGGGGACTTGGATGTCAACATAGACCCTGCACCAATGGCTTTAGGGCTATCCTCTCGATATCCTGCAACAGCGGAGCTGAAAAGAACAGAGTAATTAGTTATGCAAACCACTGCTTGGTAGCATGACGCACCCAACATCTCTAGTGCACAATAATGTATGCTGCAGTCACATAATGCAGCCAGTCATGTGAAGTGAGTGTTGGTAGCAAAAGCGCCGCATCAATCCCATGAAGTAGGCTGACCATGGTAAGCATTATTAGCTTGCCATAAGAGATACTCTTACACGTGAACTCATTCACACAGTAGCTCAGCTCAGTTCATCTCAGTTGGGATGAGAAGGATAATGATTAGTTATGCAAATAGTGTTGGTAGCCTGAAGTGCCAAAAACCATGTTGCACGACAAATGTGTGTTGCAAAACTCCACAGAGCCAGCTCATAGCACAGAGTCCACTATTTGTTCCAGCGATGGCCTGCCAGGCCTTCCAACCGAAAAATAGGTCCCATAAAGGAATCTGTGCTGGGAGGAAAGGCCTAAGCCATCTCGTACCTGCATGAAACGGGAAACCAGAGGGTGACATCCCGCTGAAACACCTCTATGGGCAATGCTCAGCAGATATGCTCAAAATAGTTTGTGTGATTGAGCTAATATCAGCCAATTGCCAAGGTAACTCAAAACTCAGACACCCCGCCACAGCAGGGCCAGAGAATCATCCATTCCCCTTGCGTTCGAGGCCAGTTCAATGGAAGAATACAGTATTGGCAAGCTTTATTCCAAAAGCAAACCTGAGGAACTTCCTGTGTCTCTTGACGATCTGGATGCAGAACTATGCATCCTTAGATCGATGGTCACAAACCAATCTCCAATCTCCATTGCTTACTCCAAGCACAAGGTTAGGTGACGCAAATCCAATCAACCCATAGAAGCTGGATGGTGTAACTATACAACAGCCTGATCCTCCCTCATGAGGCCCCGAGACACCTGAGTTGCGGGAAAAACCTCTGAAACAGGAACGGATACTAAAATCAGGCATGCCAGCACCAACCACAGAGTGGGGACTTGGATGTCAACATAGACCCTGCACCAATGGCTTTAGGGCTATCCTCTCGATATCCTGCAACAGCGGAGCTGAAAAGAACAGAGTAATTAGTTATGCAAACCACTGCTTGGTAGCATGACGCACCCAACATCTCTAGTGCACAATAATGTATGCTGCAGTCACATAATGCAGCCAGTCATGTGAAGTGAGTGTTGGTAGCAAAAGCGCCGCATCAATCCCATGAAGTAGGCTGACCATGGTAAGCATTATTAGCTTGCCATAAGAGATACTCTTACACGTGAACTCATTCACACAGTAGCTCAGCTCAGTTCATCTCAGTTGGGATGAGAAGGATAATGATTAGTTATGCAAATAGTGTTGGTAGCCTGAAGTGCCAAAAACCATGTTGCACGACAAATGTGTGTTGCAAAACTCCACAGAGCCAGCTCATAGCACAGAGTCCACTATTTGTTCCAGCTCAAAACAGCAGTGGAGCTGAAA